GGACCTCTGGTTTCTAGTCTGTCATCATTATTGTACTCGCTCGAAAAGCTTGACAGGCCTAAAAAGCGTGGCCTGTTTGGACTTCTGTTAAAAGTAAAACTTTGATTTTTTTTTTCGCAAATCTTTGAACGTTTAAATTTTACGTCACGAAATGAGAGTGAGAATAGTCTTAATGTTATCTTCTTTTGTTTTTTTTAGATTGTGATGATGTATATAGTCAACAACCATCACTTGTTCATGAAGGAATTTTTCGTATAAAACCACGTTTTGCATCTGAATCTTTTGATGTTAAATGTATATTTGAAAATAATATAGGTAAGATTAAATTAAAAGGAGTATCAAAATTAATTGATTTTCAAATAGGATGGACAGTTATACAACGAAGAATAAATGGAACTATTGATTTCTATCGTGGATGGAATGATTATAAAAATGGTTTTGGTGATTTACGAACAGAATTTTGGTTAGGAAATGAAAAAATTCATCTATTAACAAATCAAGGACGATATATGTAAGTCTATCCATATTACAAATGTTTTACATTTATTTCACTTTGCATCAACGACATTGATTATAAACATTTTTTTAGCTTTTTGTTTAAATCATTTTCATCGTAGGGAAAAAAAAACGATGATTCTTGTTTGCTTTTAAAGTTATTTCAACTTTAATAAAATGCTCAACATCTTTTGAAAACGTATATACTAAAGTTGAATAAATGTCCTATATCAAAACGAAAATATTAATTGTGCTAGTGTAACATTGAAAACAATGTATAGCATTCGCAAAATCATAAAAAGATGATTTTTCAGTAATAGATGGTAATTTGACTCTAAGATAATAGGGTTTTTTCAAGGACATATTTTAGTAGAACACGAATAATTTGATCTGTCGATATCGTTTCTAGAAGAATTTAGTTCAATAACTTCTTGATGAAGAGTCATAACTGCTTTAATGAAATAGTTCCTTGAGGGAAGGCATTTTCAAGAAACTGAAGACGGTAAGATTCGATTTGAGAATGATACTAATCGGTACGTCTAATAGTCACTAGATAGTTCCAAAACTTTCAACGAAAACGAACAAGTTTTTTTTCATGAGATCTTCGATTTCGAGGTGCTCTGAATTATTGTATCTTCCTATAGTGAACCATTATTTTTTTGTAATTTTGAATATTTTAAGAGACATATGTTCGTTTTCGTTAAAATTTTCAGAACTCTATAGGCTAAAGTTAATGTTAAAACCTTTTTTTTTTCGATTTTTTCGACAATATCTTGCTCTAAAGACTAGTTTCATTGAAACATCTATAACTTTTCAATAGGAGAACATAGACCCGAATTCTTTTAAGATTGTTTTAGTCTTATTCAAAGTCATAATATGAAGTGCAATGACGTCCGACAGTTGAATATGTTTCCTGAACAGATGGATTAATGTGTTTCTGTTGTACCTCTTAGTTATCTGTACTTTTTTTTTCCAAAACACTTTTCATGAGAAAAACTCCCTTATTGATCCTTATCTTTTGTACAAATCTTTGAAAAAAATAAAGTATCAATGTACAGTTATTTTTTGTTCTTCAATTTCTCATCACTCGATACTTAATGCATTAAAAACTTTTTCTTGCTCGAAAAGAGCACTATGTCAACAAAAATCATCTAACCTAGAGTAGCAATGAAATCGCTAACTTCATGGATTAGTTTACTCTCATTGAATTACAGAAAGACAGTTGCATGCAATTATCATATTCTTTACGACTATTCCATCAACTTAATCTAATAAAACTTTCATTCTTATTTTGTTTTTTAGTCTTCGAGTTGATTTACAACCTTGGGATTCTCCAATACGTATAGCTGAATATGGTCAATTTGCTTTAGATAATGAAAGTCAATATTATAAATTACAAATATCACAATTTCGTTCAAATATATCAACAGCTGGTGATTCATTAACATCATCATGGGATAATGCTAATGGAATACCATTTTCTACATATGATCATGATTTTGATAATTTATTTTATGATAATTGTGCATTAACTTATCATGGTGCATGGTGGTTTACAAATTGTTTTCAATCTCATCTAAATGGTGCTTATATTCGATCACCACTTGCTTTACAAAATACGGCAAGAAATGGTTTACATTGGAATACATATGCATTGTATCATTCAATGAAACAAACAACAATGCGTATTCGACGACTAAATACATTTTAAATCAGTTAACTTATCTTTCTGTTTTTCATTTTATATCATATATAAATAAATAATCATGATTTTAAAAATATATATTCATTGTAGTTGTGCATCATACTAATCCACTGAAGTGGAACGAGTATCATGTCTGAATTAATAATATACAAACAGAACATGCTCGTTCGAATCACAACAGTGGATCGACAGGTAACCATTTCAATAACAACATTCCCATCTCCACTACAAAAGACACATAAATGTGTCGAGCATCTCAAGAAGAGACGATTGCGTAGCCGCTGTTTGGAGATTAGGAAGGCATCGAAGTGGGCTTGTCAATCCGGAAAAGATAGAATCAAGAAAGAGTAGAGAGGAAATAAAGAAGCGGTGTCCCACCAACGAGCCAAAATAAATCTTAAAAGACTATCAAGTCGTTAGCGACACCGCGTAGTGTTATCGAATTACTTCGCTTGACATTAGAAGTTTCCAATACGAAGTAAGCGATAGCCGATCTCGAAAGAAACGAACGTTATGAAGCACGTTTTTTCCCTTTTGAAGATGAGATGAAAAAATAAAAGCAAAATGTAGCATATTTATACTCGTGAAATGTATTGCCCAAACCAAATATAATCATTAAATGTTTTTTACCCTCATATTTGCCATTGACTGGTACAAGAAAGAGATAAGCCGAGATGAAACACATGATTGTTGCGCACTCGACACTAAACAAATATTTGCATCAATGAAAAGCAAGCATAATAACTGCTACCCTCTTGTTAAAAAAAACGTGATATGCTGCAAGAAATCTTTTTTTTTTGTTCTTTTTGTTAAACCCTTTAGATTTACAACTATTCGAACAAGAATTCATTTTGCGCGAGTTACCCTTCATACAAAACAAAAAACAGAAAGTGTCTCCATTATCGGTGTATAGGGCAGACCACTTCAATTACGCCCTGATTTTTCTTTTTACATACTTTACGAACAACATTTAAAATCTAGAGGCTGTATCAAAATTAAAAAAAATAGACTAGTGCACAGCTTATATATCTGCATGGTTCGATCTAACGAGGGAACATTCCCAAGTGATTCGCTTCGTTTGCCTTCATATTACGCCCATAGGTAGGGTTCATAGTGTAAGTAAATACTCTAAAAGAGTTCGTGCCATTGTGCGTTTCTTCTCAAGTTATAATTATTTTGCTGAATATTCATCCTATCACACAGTATTATGAAAAGAATTTCAACAAGGAATTTTCTCTTGAAAATTTTTTCAATAATAGATCTCATAGTCTTTGTTATATCTTGAAAGTTTCAGCTTAAACGAATAGTTTCCTTCCGAAATATTGCATGTACAAAAAACTATTATTTTCTCACAAAAGCTCCGAAAATAGTTTATTTTTAAGATACTTCATATCTTTAGAAAAACTCATTCGTTTGAGTTGAGACTTTCAGGAAATAATTACATAAAAAATTGCATCAATATGAGTATCTATTGAGTTTATTGATATATATTTCAATTTTTTTTTCCAAATTATTTTGAAAATCAAATCATAAGCAATTATAGATGACCATCAAACAGCTTCGATCTCAATGCTACGAATTATTATGTGTGAGACATTATCATCAATGAAAAGTGAATAAATAAAGTTAAAAATTTTGATTCATTTATTGATTAAATAAGAAAAGAAATTCATCGTATAACAATCGATGATCGTATTCGTTGCATCGAAAATTGGTTACACAGAATTTCGTCCATTTCGAAAACAAAAGATGTATAGATAAAATAAGATTGTTAATGTACTGTGTAGAGCTTATTATGCTGTATCTTATAGTATCTTTTGTTTTTCAAATTAAATGCACTAGATGATAGAAAAACGAAGTACAAAAATCGATCATTCATTATGGAACACCGGTTAGATGTTCCACATATTCCTTTTGAAGAAGCTGAACAGATATAAACAATTAGAACATGAGATTTGTTCCTAGACGTTTATAAAAACCTGAGCAATAAAAGAAAAATAAATCTTTGTTGAAACTATTTCCATTATTCAATTCATAATCACTCAATACAATAGTTACTTTTTTGCCGAATTCCTTAGACCTAAAAACTTTTTTGAATCGATCAAACTGAATCAGTTCAAAGAGAGTCTTTTAAACGAATTGGGAATAAAGACCATTGTCAGAGAGTATATCAAAGAATACAAGCATATAAATTTGTAGGTATTCAGAACGAGATTTTGCCTCTAATGTCAGTTTTACTATACAGATTTCATATTTACCAAATATTTTTATCTATTAGAGAAATAATTTGACTAAAAATTGAATTATAAAAGGAAATACTTATTGTTATTTATCTGTAAAAATTAGTTTAGATTTGGTTCGATTCAAGTAGCCGTAATTCTCCTTCATTAATAGTAGACGAAAGGTTGAAGATTCATCTTCTAACAAATAAGATGTCATTTTAGAGTAAATACTAGTGTAGACTAAGACTCTTTACTGCACTTGAAGATTAAAATAAAGTTTTTAATATTGACGAATACGTACTACTAGTTCCTTTTAGTATTATGGTGCAGATTCTCTTATGGTTATAGATGAATACTCATAGCAATATATACTGATGAAAATCTATAAAAGAGAAAAAAAAATGTGTTGCATAAAAATAATCCATTGACACAACAAAATTTACGTGATTATCATAGAGAGAAAAAAAATCTTGTGTTGTATGCAAAATAGATTATTGACGTAAAACAATCAAACAGAGCTCATTTTAGCTTTACGGACTGTATTACATTTTTTATAAAAAACGATTATTGTTAAGCCAATGATTTTTTATTTAAGGTTTGATTCGTTTTTGATCCTTTATCTTTATTCGTTCATCATTGAATGAACAACACTTGAATACCAATTTAAAACTGGTTCTCAAACATTGAAACGTTCAAGTCAAAAACGAACATGATACTTGTTAGCAGTGTCGTCAACTCTACAGAGTGGCATGTGTTTGAAATAAAACGAATCGAAAGAAACTTAGATGTGCCATAGGGGGATACAAATGCGAAAAATCTTCATGTCAAACAAAGATGAACACATGTACCCATATTCTTGACTAAGATTGACCTAATATTGTGATATACGTCTTTTTGAAAGAAAAATTCGAGAAGAAAACTGTCGTTTTTCACTCTACTTCTTTGTATCAAACCACTGCTACTAATAAAACATAAGTGAATTGAATTCATCTTTCTCCGTAAAGATTATAGAAGATATTTGACATATTCTTTGAAATTTCAACTGATGACCACTATGGATTACTATTTGAATGTTTGATTTCAAAAATTGACAGAAGAAACCTGCGGATTCACGTTGGTCTAGACCTGAACTCAATAGATCAAGGCAAGGCTGTGGTAATTTATACACTCGATTTTTTTTCCACCAATACTTATCATCCTTTGCATGTATTAAAAAGAGAACAATCAAACTTTCAGCCATCTATACGTTACTCTGAGAAAAAATCTCAATGCACAGTTATTTGTTCTTCGGTTTTTCATCATTCAATACATAATGAGTTGAAAAGAGCACTATGTCAACAAAAAAAACAAAATAAAACAATTAATTGAAAAACCAAAAATTCGTTAAACAGACAGTAACATCAAAATCTTCAGATGGCTGGGATAGTTTCACCTAAGCCCCAGCTCCCGACACCAACGGTCTAGAGTCTTCAAATACCTGCAGCTTCCTATTTGATAGACAATAACTGATTTGTTAAAATAAATCTAACACTCGATATATTTCATATCAGTGTGATTCAATGACAGAAAGATGGTTGCATACATTGGTCGTATACTTTACTACTACGCCATCAACTTCTTTAACATTATCATTCTTCTTTTCTTTCTTTTTTTTAGTCTTCCAATTGATGTACAACCTCGAGATTCTTTAATGCATTTAGCTGAATATACTAAATTTGCTTTAGATAATAAAAGTCAAAATTATAAACTACAAATATCACAATTTCATTCAAATATATCAACAGCTAGTGATTTAATATCACCATCATGGAATATATTGTTGCATTGTATCATTCAATGAAATAAACAATAATGCGTATTCGACGACTAAATACATTTGCAAGGAATTAACTCACATTTCTTTTTTTCATTTTATATTATTTACTAATAAATAATCATGATTTTCAAAATATATATTCATAGTAGTTGCATCAAATTAATCCACTGAAGTGGAACGAGTATCATGTCTGAATTAATAATATACAAACAGAACATGCTCGTTCGAATCATAACAGTGGATCGACAGGTAACCATTTCAATAACAACATTCCCATCTCCACTACAAAAGACACATAAATGTGTCGAGCATCTCAAGAAGAGACGATTGCGTAGCCGCTGTTTGGAGACGAAAAAGGCATCGAAGTGGGCCTGTCAATCCGAAAAAGACAGAATCAAGAAAGAGTAGAGAGAAAATAAAGAAGCGGTGTCACCTCCAACGAGCTAAGATAAATCTTAAAAGACCATCAAATCGTTGGCGACACCGCGTATTACCATGCCATTTACTTCTATATGCAAGTTTTGTAGACGAAGTAAGCGGTAGTCGACCCCGAGAGGAACGAACGTTATGAAGCACGTTTTTCCCCTTTTGAAGATGAGATGAAAAAATAAAAGCAAAATACAGCATATTTATACTAGTGAGATGAATTTCATCATTAAAAGGTAATCACTACCTTGTTTCACTCTTTTTTTTGTTGCAATCAAATTGTGCAAGAAAGACATATGTAGGAGAAAAAAGTTCATGACTACTGCGTAGTCGCCATTAAAGAAATACTTGCATCAATAGAAAGAAATCATAAAAATTGCAAGCCTGTTATGAAAAAACTTCATATTTTGTTAAGAATATTTCTTATTTCTTGGTTGAAACATTAGGATTTATGACTAATCAAGCATTCATTTATTTTTCGTGACTTGGACTTCATACAAAAACAAAAGAAAGATTCCCCATCATTGGTGTGTCGTGGCAGCCAATTGAGTGAAACTCTGTTTTTTTTTCTACACATACTTTGTTTATTTTAAAACATTATGTTTAACAAGAAAGGACGAAATCTACAGCATCTTATGATACACATTCTCCTTGAAAAAAGATGAATAAAACTTCAATCATAAAAACTATATCAAAATAAAAAGCATGGATTAGTTCACAATTTATATTTATATAGTGCTCGATGTAAAAATATAATAGATGAAAATTAATTTTTCTATGAAAAATTAGAAAAACTCTTCTAATATAATGGCCATGCATCTGTCAAGTATGGTGAAGATTCGTTATTCAAGGTTTCAGCATTGTTTAAACCATTTTAGCAAATATGCGACACTTTGACCGTAGTTGAAAAATAGATGGTTCTCGCTGTTTGTTCATGAAGTAATTCTTGTTCCAAAACAAATGTAAATATCTTCGAAAAAATATTTAATATAGATAAATGAGAGTCCTCTATTGAAGGAAAGCCCAATTGTGTCAGTTAAAAATATTGAACAACGAGCAGTAAAGCAGAATTACGAAAACATAATGTGCAGAATATAAAAACTTAATCAACCTATGTCATTTTTAGAGAATAATCTTATGATGTAACTTCAAAAGGAGCTGCACATATCGATTGACTACTGTTTTTGTTCCTAATCAGGTTAGTTAAGATGTTTCAAATTCGAATCAGTTCAGATTCACTTTTAGGAAATAACAGGATAGTCCACAACAAAACCTATCAGCTCAAAAAAAAAATGTCAATCATGATCTCAAAACATTCATTTTTTGAATCGATTCTTATTGTAGTAGATCGAGCTGGAAAAAGCTACTCATTAAAAGTGTCTTACTTTTTGAAGACATTTCACAGTTAGTTCGAACGAAAAAAAAACATGCAATTATTTTTTCTATTTTTCAATCTTTTTTAAAAATTCAATAGTTGGGTAAAGCAACAGTATGATAGTCTAAATTCTCATATCATATTTTTAGATGTTGGCAGCCTGAGTAGACATAAACTATTCAGAATTCCTATCAGTTTGCAAAGAATTTTGAAACATCCGTGCGATGGGAGTACACAACAGTAATTTGCATTTAAATAAAATAATCGTATGAGAATAAAGTTAATTTATAGTAATTTTAAGAGAAAGAAAGATCTGTTGTTTGCTTTCCTGTGAGAATATACTGTTCTATTACAGATTTCGTATTTATTGAATTTATAATTTGTCTTGAGTTATGCTGAAATGTTTTCAAAATACAAATATTTCTATGAAGTAGGTTCTCCCCAGCTATACTATTGCAGAAACATAAGAGAATTATGTCGCATAAGTCACCCATCCGTCATAAACACAATTAATATGACTGTTATTTACAACAGAAAGCCTTGTACTATACGGAAAATAAATAAAATATGACCAACAATCAAACAGAACTCGTTTCTGTTTCACTTCATATTCTTTAAAAATTGGTTTGAGTCTGGTTCGTTATCGGTCTTCGATCTTAATTTCTTCATCATTAAACGAATAATACTTGAATACTTATTTGAAACTTGTTTTAAAATATTTGCAACATTACGTAAGACGGATAATCAGTCAAAAACAAAGATCAACATGCTCATTCAAAGTGGTCCAATTTCTCGGAGATTTGCTCTTCTCGTTCATTAAAATGGTTTCAACAAAAAATAATATTATATTCGTAATCAACGCTGCAACTTTATATAGTGAAATGTATTTGACTGAAAACGAAGAGAAAAAGCAGAGACGAAATATCTTAATGCTGAACGAAGATGAATAAATGTGTCCTTGTTATAGACCAACGGTTGACTTAATATCGAAATGTATTGATGCGATAATTGAACTGACTTCGTTTTCCGTTCTAAAGATGACCAAAAACATTAGAGATGTTATTTCAGATCTCAAACAATGATGCGTATGAATCATTATTTGAGCGACTTGATTCCAAAGTTTCACGTCAGGAACCTACGAGTTCAGAGTCGAGGTTTTTACGGCCAATATCTGGCACTCTTTTAATCCATGAACAAGTAGAGGATCAAAGTTTTAATGATTTATTGGCTACTCTTCGAAAAAATTGTCAACACATATTTATTTCTTGTTCTTAACTTTCTCATCACTTGATGCTTAAGAAATCAAAAGTTTTCGCTTAGTTAAAAAGTACCCTATGTTAAAAAAAAAATAAATTGAACAGATAATTGATAAACAACACTCATCAAACCGATAGTAACACTAAAATCTTCAGATGTCTGGGATAGTTTTACCTAAGTTTCTGGGCCCCAGCTTCGCCAATCTAGAGTCTTCTAGCACCTTTCACTCCTTATTTAACAGACAGAGATCGATTTGTTATAATTAATCAACAGTTCGATACACTTCGTATCATTGTCATTCAATTACAGAAACAGATTTGCATGCCGTGATCATATTCTTTACTTCTGCCCAATCAACTTTTCGAACATAGGTTTTGTTCTTGTCTTTCTTTTAGTCTTCGAATTGATTTACAACCTTGAGATTTTCGAATATATATGACTAAGTATGGTAAATTTGCTTTAGATAATGAAAGTCAAAATCATAAACTACAAATATCACAATTTCGTTCAAAAATATATATCAACAGCCGATGATTCATTGTCATCATTATGGAATATATAGCTGCATCATATCATTCAACGACTAAATGCATTTTAAATCAATTAACTTATCTTACTTTTTTTGATTTTATATTATATACAAATAAATAATCATGATTTTGAATATATATTCATAGTAGTTGCATCAAATTAATCCACTGAAGTGGAACGAGTATCATGTCTGAATTAATAATATACAAACAGAACATGCTCGTTCGAATCACAACAGTGGATCGACAGGTAACCACTTCAATAGCAACATTCCCATCTCCACTACAAAAGACACATAAATGTGTCGAGCGTCTCAAGAAGAGTCGATCGCGTAGCCGCTGTTTGGAGATTAGGAAGGCATCGAAGTGGGCCTGTCAATCCGGAAAAGATAGAATCAAGAGTAAAGAGAAAATAAAGAAGCGGTGTCCCTCCAACGAGCCAAGATAAATCTTAAAAGAATATCAAGTCGTTAGCGACACCGCGTAGTGTTATCTAATTACTTCGCTTGACATTAGTTTTGTATACGAAGTAAGCGTTAGTCGACCCCGAGAGGAACGAACGTTATGAAGCACGTTTTTCCCCTTTTGAAGATGAGATGAAAAAATAAAAGAAAAATGCAGCATATATACTCATGAAATGTATTGCATCATCAAAATGTAATTACAACTTGTTTCTTATCCTCACTTTTGCAATTGCCTGATGCAAGGAAGAGAAAAACGTATGAAGAAAGCACATGGTTTTTGCGTAGTCGACATTAAATAAATATTTACAGCGATGGAGAGCAACCATAATAATTGCAACCCTGTTGTTAAAAATTATCATATGCGGCAAGAAATATTTTTTTCTCTCTGTTAAAGCATTTGGATTCACAATTATTTTCAAGCCACAATTTGTTTTTCGTGATTTGCCTTACATACGAAGAAAAAAAGGAAGGTGCTCGATCATTGGTGTATAGTGGAGATCACTTGAGTTACCCCTTGTTTTTTCTAACATACTTTGTTTACTTTAAAACATTATGCGTAGTAAGAAAAGACGAAATGTGCTGCATCTAAATAAAGCATATTCCCCTTGTAAAAAGCAATTAAATTTAAAACATAAAAATTGTATCGAAATAAAATGCATCTATTAGATCTCAGCTTGAATGAATGGTGGGCTCGATCTAAGAATATAATCGAAATAATAAAATAAGATGAAGATTATTTTATGTATGAAAAATTAGAAAATATCTTTTTTTGTCATGTATGTTGATATGCACGAATGACGGCGACATTTTTTTTTCTTCTAATCTATGTCTATAGATCTCTTCATTTTTTTCATTTATTTATTTATCAATATTTAGTTCTATGTCTAATAGTATACTTGAGAGAAATAATAGACTTCTCTTTGCTATGATTACATGTTTCATTTATTTTGAACCACAGAAATTATTAATGAC